GTCCTTCTTGAGGAGGAAAGGCTGTTTTACAGCACCCTGTGGGGGTGCTTTTCGAGGTACAGTTACTGCTCTTCTAATATTTAGAAGATACAAGTAAATACTCGGTCTCAGCAGAGAAAAATTTATGCCAACTCCTTCTCAATGAAGAAAATTCAGCCACATCTTCCTCCTCACTGGATTTTTGCCCTCCTAAATATTCCCGAGGAGAAATTTGTCCCATGAAGAAGACTAACCTCCCGGCAGTCCCTGTGACGTGGCTCACGTGGTGGGCGCTCCGTGGCTTCCTGTGGCCACGCTTTGATCCAGGGGGCGCAGGGAGGGAGTGCCCTCCCTGGAAACAGTGAGTGCAGTTGAAGGAATTGTTCTCTCTCCCAAGTGGAGAAGTTGTTTGACCTACTGACTCATTTCATAGGAATTGGGAAAACAACCTAGTGTGGTTTTCATTGTTAGTCCTGGAAGATTCCAAAATCTGTGTGTCTGCAAATAAGAGGAGCTGGAGAAAGGTGGTGTTGCCACTCGCTGTCTCTGCTTGCCTGCTCTCCTAATGGAATTCAATCCCTTCCTTCCAGGACAGGTCCAGCCTGACTTCGGAATCCTTTGTGTCCTGCCCAATGGTGAGTATGGATGACAGCAGTTTCTGATTTTTCACTGGCTCTTGCTTCTAAATTTCTAAATGGCATTTCGTCAAAGGATAAGCTTTTAGAGCGTGTCTTTTCCTGACCCGTTCATGCTAGGTTTCACATTGACCTGTAGAAAATACTCTGGATATGGTGATAACCAGAGATGGTATAACCTACAGATGACAGTAGAAGTCATGAGCTGAGATACATTGAGTTTTGCAGCTTATTGTCTGAAGGAAGTTTTGATTTTGACATATTTGTAGTGTTTTTCTGTGATGTTCTTTAAAACACAAGTATGGAAGATAACAGTACCTTCTAGCAAAAATTATAATACAGTCCTTGATAGTGGGTGAGAGATACACGTTTTTGGTTAGTAACCTTTATGTGCAGAGAAACTTCTGATTCCTGATGTCTGGGTTTTAAATCAATGTTACCAGCTAAGCTGGAGGTATCAAAAGAGGACAAAGAAAGGGGGTCAAACTTTGTGAGAAGTAGAAACTCAGATATTTGAAGTGATTGATACTCAGAAGGGTTCGATTATTGCCTCTGTGTTATTTTATATGTGCTGGATTCCCAAGTCACACCCTTAAGTCATGTTCTCTGTTAATGCAGTGGCATGGCAGAGAGTTGACTCAGTTATTCTGCTGTTGCTATGTCAGTGTACTGCTTTATTACGGCTGAGTGCCTGAGAGCTGGGGTTCTTAACCTTGTCGGGGTGTTGGGCCCCTTTGAGATTATGGTAGAAGCCATGAATCCTTTGGGCACATTCATACACAAACATTTGCCTGCCTTTTGGGGGGCATCTGCAGCTCACTAAGGCTCATCTGTGTTCCCCAGGTTAAGGACACCGGCCCAGAGCCAGGCGTGATTCTCCCATGTGTGAGCTTGCCAGCAAGCACTCAGATTTAAAAGAGGAGGAATCCAAGTCAGAAAGAAGTCATTCTCTGTTTGCTAGCTGGGCCTGGAGAGGTAGGGAACAATGCTTGGGAAAAAGGAAAGGTGGCAAAAATAGGTGACTAATATTAAATAAATAAAGAGAATGGGTAATATTCTCAGAACCTTGAAACAGATACCCTGGGATTCCTTAAACATTTAACGAGGAAATCTGTAGAGTACATCATGAATTCTGGTAGAGACTTTAAGACTCACGGTTAACAGTTGCAGCGAGTTTTTCTCATACATAATGAAATCTCTTTTCTTTCTTTTTCCTTTTCCATTGTGTATGCTACCAAATTAGACAGGACTACAAATCATCCGAACTCCAGACATGTAATTGAAAACAATTGTAACCAACTGGAGAATGAGTCTCCATTAGCACAAGAAGTCCAGTAGGGATAGACGGAAGGTAGTTCAGTTGAGTACAGAAAACCACCATTTAAAAGAACTGTAGCCCTTAATGCCCGTCAAGTAAATTCAGGTCAGTACTGTAAGGCCGTTGTGGAAAAAAATAGACATGAATCTTGGGTGTATTAACAGTAGTATGACATAGAAGAGTAAGAAAACAAGGCTGGCATTGGTCACACTCATTACTGTGTCCAACTGAATCACATTTGAAAAAAGATTTTGGGGAATTGCAAAGAGCGGATCTACCAGCAGCAGAAGTCGTACACCCTTCCAGCAAAAGATAAAGTGCCTCCGAGTTCCAGCCTGAAAAAGGCTAAGGGATTTCTTGCTAATGGTCTTTGAGTAGTAAGAGTCTGATTTATCTTTATATCCCTGGTGGCTTACACACTGCCTTGCTTTCAGTAAATTGCAGGGCTTTAGATGAGTGTCCCGTGTGGGGACGTTGGTAACACGTCATGATAGGCTGGGCGGGAGCAGATGGACTCCAGTAAAACCAAAGAGATACTGTCAAGACATAAGGTCTATAATAAATAAATTTGTTGGCTAATGAATAGATCAGAAAGACGACCTCATTTGCCATGGTGATCCAGTTAGATGAGTGGTGAGCTGAGGGAAGTGAGGAAATCTTGGGTTGAGATCTTTCCCAAGGTGAGAATAGGTAAGTAACTATGTCTACTTTGTCTGAGATGGTGGAAACATTTCTTAATTCATTCAACAAACACTGAGGTTCTACTTTGCTAGGGGCTCACATTCTGGGAAAGGAGGCCAAGGTGCAAACACACAGATCACATTGTACGGTTAGTCCTGAGGTTGCATAAAATCAGCATGCTGTGGGACCGGGTGGCACCTAGCCGCTTTCTGTGAGGCTTCCTGATGAAGGTCATGTCTGATGGTCTCCTGCAGGACAGCCTTCAAGGAGTTAGCCAGACAGGGGAGGCAAGCATTGTGGCAAGGCTCTGAGCTGCAGAGGCTGCGAGGTCCGGTGGAGGGCGTGGGAGAGGAACACTAAGAGAAGGTGACGTGGGAGGGGAGTCCCTGACAACAGGCCCACGGCATCACGCCCCGTCTGCCTGAAGGTCTCTGTCCAGGAGGGGAAGGTGGCCCACCAGGCCAGGTCAGGCAAGGCAGGGAGACAGGACAGCGAGAAGCTGCCCCAGCTGGAGTCCTCCAGTAGAGAAGACGACGAGGCGGCCCAGGACAGTGGATTCAGGGGGAGGTTAGTGAGCGAAAAAGGGGAGAAGAGACATAAGGATGGCGGCTGAGGTGGTGAAGTGGTACCTTTTACCACGAGATGAGACACGAGAGGAGAAGCAGGTCTGAGGGAAGATAAGGCAGCATTTGGATGTGGCAGAGTGCGTACGACAGGCCGGCGTGTAGGAGACCAGGAGAGTGGCCGGTGGTTTGTATGGATTTGGACCCGAGGTCCAGCTCGAAGTCATTATCTTACTGGTGGTCTTGACCTGTGTGAGACCTGTTTCTAAAGCAGTGGATCACTCCTCCAAACTTTTTATATGGTATTTGTTTTTTCTAACTTACATGTAGTAAAACTTGTTTAAAATATGAAATAGTATAAAGAAGAAATGTAAATGATCCCTGATCCCATCACCCAACATTTGTGTGTATTTCCTTTCAGTATTTTCCTGCACACACATAGAGTTTATGGAATTAGCATCATTCTCTGTAGGAACTTTTATATCCCCATTTCTTAAATGAGCATTTTCTCCCAAGTGCTTAATTAAAATGCTTTAAAAACATTTTTAACAGTGCAAAATTGGGGGAGTGTTTAGTTAGCTTCCATTTTCTTTCCTTTAGAGAGATTGCATGCATGCCTGGGTACAGGGGGAGGGGCAGAGGGAGAGGGAGACAAGCAGACTCCCTGCTGAATAGAGAGCCTGACTGGGGCTCGATCTCACGACTTTGAGATCATGACCCGAGCCGAAACCAAGAGTCAGATGCCTAACTGACTGAGCCACCCAGGTGCCCAGATCTTCCTTTTTTTTTTTAAAAAGCCAGTTGTACATTATAATAATGATCCTTTTAAATACATGAATCTTGGATAGTTCTCATAAAAATATATTTAAATGATATAATAATATTAATATCCTATATTAATAAAACATTGATAACATATTAATATAATATAATATATTAATATTAAATAACCAATGAACATACTTTCTTAGGATAGATTATTTGCAGTGAGTTTATTAAGTTGAAGGAATTAAAACTTTTTATTTATTTATTTTTCTCATTTTAAGTAGGTTCCATGCCCCACCTGGGGCTCAAACTCACAACCCTGAAACGAAGAGTCCCATGCTCTACTGACTGAGCCATGCAGTCACCCCAGAATTAAACTTTTTAAAGGTTCTTGATAACCCTGGCCAAATTGTTACCTAGAAAGCTTCTTACAAGTTACCCACATTCTAGCAATGAATGAAATGGCCCTCCCACCATATCTTCATCCATTCTGAGTATTACCTTGTACAGAAAAACGTTACGTTATTTTTGGCTCATTTATTCAACAGCTTTTTTTTTTTTTTAAAGTAATGCCACACCCATTGTGGAGCCCAACATGAGGCTTGAACTCATAGCCCTAAGATTGAGACCTTAGCTGAGATCAGGAGTCAGATGCTCAACCGCCTGAGCCACCCAGGCACCCCTTGACAGCTGCGTAATGGCGTCCCACTCTGTGCTAAATAGTACATGGCATTCTGAAGTTGCTTCCAGGAAAGGTTAACTTTTTCCTGGGTTTATGAATCCATCATTTCTTTTTGTAAATTTCTGTTTGTGTCCCTTATCAGCTTTTCTGTCAACATGCAATTGTTCTTATAATTTATTTGAGGGGCATGTTTGTGTATGTTAGTGCTATTTGGGCAAATATTTTTCTCAGCTTCTTTGATTTTTTAAAATTTTTTGATTCTTTGGCAACACAGAACATTTACATTCTAATTAAGTGATTTTTGTCTTTTTTTTTCCCTCTGTGACTCTATTGTTAACATGGACTTAGGTTCCTACCCAGAAGTTAGAAGATATTCTTTTGATTTTTTAAAAAAATAATTTCATTTTTTGTACTAAGCTAACCAAATTAGAAGTAAGGTGTGAAGGAATTTTTTTTTTCACGTAGTTAGTCCCCCAGTATCCTTAATGGAGTCACTTGTCTTTCCCCAGTTAATTTTTAAACTGATAAGAACAGACACTACGCTTGATCTTAGCCAAAAGGCCGAGAAGCGATCCCCAGTTAATTTTTAGTGCTTCGTTTATTTTATTCTTTAAGACCTTTCACCGTTACATCTAACTGTAAGAGCCCATGAAATTTGGGGAATACTGGTATCTGAGTGGAGGGTGTGATAATATTTTTTCCCAACATTTTATGATTAAAAGCCTCAAGTATACAGTAAGGTTGAAAAAATTTCACAGTGAACCCCCCACCCATACCTCAGCTGGATTCTACAGTTACTATTTTACCATTTTTTTCGCCTTTATCATTTACCTATTCATGTGACAGTTTTTAAAACTCCTGAATCATGATTTGATTTTAAGTGGAATATCAAAGACATTTTCTTTCATTCTGGTTCCCCCCCCCCTCTAATTTGTAGGTTTGATTTCCAGGAAACTTTCAGCTCTTTATAGCAGTACAGTAGAGTAGTGAGTATGATAATACATACCGAGGGAAGCTGCTTTCCAAGCTATGTTTTGGTCCTCTAATTCTATGAATACGGTTTGATTTTTAAGGCTTATGGTGATCATTCACATGTGATAAATTTGTTTTGCAAACATTACTCCCTAGGAAGGGTTCCATCTTCCCATATGCAAGAGACTTGCTTTCTCTGTTCCTTTGGTTGGAGCTGAAGAGTACATTTAAGAGAGGAGGGCGCACAGTAGGCACCAAGAGGCTTGTAGAGGTCTGATGAGGGGGCCTTGTCCGAGCCAGCAAGGGGGCTGCCTGGGCATAGCAGGGTTTGAAAGAAAACTTTTGCCAGAGTCAGGTCACCTTCCCAAGTGGCCATCGTCAGGCTCTGCCATGGGAGCCCTTAGCATAGCGACTGCTCTGCCTTGGGCAGCCCATCACTTCAGACGTCTACTGGCGTGTGGCATCAAGTGTCCCTGGTTCACTGTGGGTGATTAGGTCAAACCTTATGTCAAGGAGTTTAATCACCTCTCCCAGTGTAATGGATGAGCTCCCTAAATTCCCATGAGTTTTGGAGGCCTGATAGCATCCCAGCCTTAGAGATGGGTTTGCAGCTGTGTCTTAACAGTAAACTGACCTACCAACATCTGCCTCGTAGCGGCGCCTACACCCAGCTGAACGGAAAATGCAGAGCCTGATAAAGACTGGCCTTTGGCTGTCACTAGACATTAATGGTGGTTTAATTTTTGTACTGGGTTTTCCTCCCTGCCATCTGAGCCTCAGTTTCCTATTTGTAAAATAAGTTGATTTTATGAGATCATGGAGAACATTTTTTTCTTTATTGAAAATCTGTGATTTTAATCTAGAACATTGCCTGTAGGTCAGGATCCACGCCTTTCTCAGAAATCTGGGAAGACTGTTCTTTTGGGGTTTTTGTTTTTGTTTTTGTTTTTGTTTTCAGTTTCTCTGATTAATACTTTCCAGGGTAGGACTACTGATGAAGTTCAAGTTCTCCAGACCTGGCCTCTGGGGCTGGGATATTAAAGCTGTTAGCTCCTGTGCAAGGGCTGAGGGGGCCTTCCCAAGATCATTCAGAGGAAGCCTTACTCACAGGAAGCGGATTCTCTGACTAGCTGCTTACCGAGCACGTTCCCCCTTGACCTCCAGGAGACTCACTCTGTGGTGGTCTGGTGTCACCTTTGTTCTAAATTCCTCGCCCTTAGTGAGCAATGCTGTGGGATTTTAGAAGTCTAGCCAGCTTCATCGCTTAGGCATTTAAGGATAGCTTCCCAGAAAAAAACTTAACATAACCTAAGTTGGTATTCTTATAACATCAGTATTCAAAAGAGGCATCCTCTTTGAGTGAATGATTTTCTTTTCTATTCTTTTTTTTTTTTTTTTAAGATTATATTTATTTGACGGCATGCACACACAGGCAGAGGGAGCAGTAGCGGGAGAGAGAGAGAAGCAGGGAACCAGACGTGGGGCTCCATCCCAGAACTTGGGATCCTGACCTGAGCCAAAGGCAGACGCTTAACCACTTAACCTACTGAGCCACCCAGGCACCCCTGAATGATTTTCAGAAAAAACAATGAAATAAACTGCGTTTTTCTAGTGCCGCTGTTCCCTCTCAAGTGTTTGTCCTCCAGCAAGAGTCAGCTTGTTGCTTCCCACACCTGCCCAGCCGTTTCCTGTTAGCCTGTCTTTGAGAAGCAGCTCCCCTCCATCCTTACTTGTGGCCCCCTTTCCGGCCCAGAGGAGCCCCACCATGGTACCTGCTCCCGGCCCAGGGCTGCCTTTCACACTGCAGATCCGCCAGTGCTAACGGGCTGAGTTTCTTTGGCATTCCTGAATTTGCCAGGAGCAAGGGAGGGTAGCTGGAAAGCACTCCTGTAACCTGTTATTTTCCTTACCGTTAAACTGTGAGGAAGGCTGACTCTTCCACCAGTCACTGCCATGCTCTACATCGGGTTTCTGAATCATCTCCCCAGTCCACAGCTCCCTTTAAAATTTTGCTTCCAGGCTAGATCTGCAGGACATAAGGTTGTGAGATCATAAATGCTACAGAGTGAGTATGAAGTTAATTTACCAGATCCCAGAATGTTATCCCTTGAAGTCCTGAGGAGGCCGCATCACAAGTGAGTCACGCCCATGTGGAACCTGGTGTCTGCAAAGGTGTCAACACGCCAGAAATATAAATAGCTTTAAGATGAGTTTATATTAAAACATAAAGTAAAGTTTGGGTATATTCACAGGCGGTGGGATTACTTAACAGGTTAGGAAGGAAAACATGAGATATTTGAGGTACATCCTTGAACATCTAAAATAGCTCAAATGAAATGCACTATGGTGTTACTCTGAAGGGTTTTTTAAAACCTCCACACGGGGTGCCTGGGTGGCTCGGTCGGTTAAGCATCTACCTTCAGCTCGGGTCATGATACCAGAGCCCTGGGATCGATTCCTGTATCAGGCTCCTTGCTCAGCAGGAGTCTGCTTCTCTCTCTCTCCCTCTGCCTACTTGGGCTCTATCTCTCTGTTGAGTAAATAAATTAAAAAACAAAACAAAACAAAAAATCTTAAAAAAAAAAAAAAAAAAAAAAGGTCAACACTGGGCCCAGAAACAATGTGTTGGATTGATGAGGAGTATTTTCTAGTGTAGCCTTTCTCATGGGCGGATTGAGCCTTGAGCGTTCTCCTATGAAGCTGAAGGATCTCTCTCTGGTGAGACAGTGTCCATGAGCTCTGACCTAGTCTGTACTGACCGTGACTGATCCGGAAGGCCAGCACACTGCCCGGGCATTTCCCGTGGCACCCGTGTTCTGGGGTCCGGGTTGTCAGGGACCACTTGTTTCTGTGTTCAGTCTGCCCCTTTTCACTCACATCAGCTGTAGGCGTGAGCAGACGTGTCCCAACCCGGGGGACTCGCCATGACACAGCAGTAGCAGCAGGAGCCAGCAGTGTGGGCTGAGCACTGTGCGTCTGTTTGGATAAATGATCCTGCGAGGCGGGTGCTCTCATCATACCCACTTTTCTGATGGAAAACTAAGGCTCGGAGAAGATCAGTCCTTTCTCCCAAGGTTATGCAGCAAGTATGTGGGGGAGCTAGGGTTCAGATCATAGCAGTCTGGCTCCTGAGCCTGGGCTTTTCCTATTTGGGAGGCATTTTTATCCTTTGGGGCCTCAGTTTCATGTGATCAGTTATCTTTCATGGTGCATCCCCCAAACCTGGGCATGCTGGTATTGTAGCTTGTCCTGGATCACCTGGTTACAGCTTGTTACGAGTGGTGTGTAGAACCACAGCCCACCCCCGGGGCTCCAGCCAATGTGCTGGTGGTTAGAGTATGTCCAAAAAATGGAATTAACAAAGCAGCTATCCCAGTGCTGAACTAACCAACTTGGTTATGACCCGTGATGGAATCCCTTTTCTTTTCTTTTTGGAAAGGAACAGAAGCTTATTAACCTTGTGCCTTCCAGTAGGTTCAGGCCCATTGTCAGGACCCCAGAATCTGTTGTCTTGTGAAATGCTTGTTGCGGAGTTGGCTGCAGAGCATCGCATCCGGGAAGGCTGCTCTGCCACCATGTGGCACAAAGGCCTTTCGTGCTCTGCCCTCTTTTCTTGACACTGCCCCCCGCCGCCATCGTCACCCTTCATCATTGTAGCTCCTCATGATTGCCCGTTGCATGGAAGCTCTTTCTTTTGCTCTCTTCCTATCCAACCACTATTTTTCCTTTTGAATGAACCCTCCTCCAGGTAGCCTCCCCTGACTGCCCGGGACCGGGTCGGGTGCCCCCATTTGCTTCCACAGCACCCTCTGCTTACCCTTTGTGCACGTACATACAAGGCTCTAACTTCCTGTTTCTTATCTGTCCTCCCTGATTGGCACTGGCATCGTAAGAGCTAGCAGGGGTACAGTTTACTTTTGGATGAACACCCTGACCCAGAAGATGGTGCCTGACGATGCCAGACAGTCAGCAAGTGTTTGAATGAGCGAGAGGTAGAAATGACATACTTGGTGACAATGGGAACTAACACAGTGTCTAATATTTATGGATTATAAGGGACTTTCGTATATGTTACTTTCCTGAATCCTCACAGCAGTTCTGGGGAGTAGATTTCTTGATCCCCATTGTACTAAGCTGGAAACATCTGCTTACCCTGGTGCGTATACACACTACAGTGGTCCCCACTTCCTGGTGGGGAGCGTGCTCCAGGACCACCCCCAGGGGATGCCTGAAACCTCGGATAGTGCCAAACCCTATAAATTTTTTCCTATCTACCTATGATAAAGTTTAATTTATAAATTAAGCTGAATAAGAGATTGACAACCATAACTAATAATGAAGTAGAATGATTATAATAATGTACTGTAGTAAAAGTTATATAAATAGGGTCTTTCTCTCAAAATAGCTTACTGTACTGTACTCACCCTTCTTGTGATGATGTGAGGTGATAAAATGGATTTGTGATGAGATGCAGTGAGGTGAATGACAGAAGCAATGTGACATAGCCTTCCGCTATCACTGACCTTGTGATAAGTCAGAAGGAAGATCATCAGCTCCCAGACTGTGGGTGACCATAGGTCACTGAGACCATGGGCAGCTGA